TTCATTTTTCAGGTCTTTTTCTCTTTGAGCCCTATTCCCCCCCCCCCCCTTTGCTTTTTTGTAATTGTTCTGAGCCTTTTACCAGTTTGGGAACGCTCGCGCACTTTCTTCGCCTTCACCGCACTATTTTCCACTTATCCTATATTTTTCGTCATATCTGGATTACCCAAATTTATCGCGCACTGTGCCGCTGAGCACTTTCGTAGTCTTCAGGCTGCAACTCGTAGACCTCGCAGCTGTTTTGTATTCTTGAAACTCACTTTGTAAACTTTGCAATCATTTTTATGAGTCTTCAATTTTGCAAAGTAAATTAAGTGGATTATTCGGCGCCTGATCATGGCACAGCAGATGGGAAGTTCTTCATTTAGAGCCCTGTAGCTGTTAGTGTGCCTAAGGTTACCCACGAAGTAGATTGGATAAGCTGCGCTAATGATTGCATTATATTTCTACCAATATAATGTAGAAACTCAAATGTGGTTGCAACATACATTCAATGAACTGCAATGTTTACGAACAGGGATGAAAACCCAAATCCTGTATTGAAATGTATTTAGGCTCACCTGTCGTCGTAGTTGGCGGTGACGTCGTTACTACAGTTGAAGTCGGTACTGTAGTCGTAGTAGATTGCTTGGTGGTTGTAGAAGGTGGTAATGTTGTTTTTGGGTTCGGTATCGTAGGAGTTCCTGATGACATTGTTGTCGACGATGTACAACCAGAGGTGGTGGGCACTGGTAATGTGGTCGTTGAAGTCAATATTGTAGTGGTAGTAGATTGCTTGGTGGTTGTAGAAGGTGGTAACGTTTTTGATCGCAAGGCATTCGAAGTCAAATGATTTTTTCAGAGAATTCAGCGATCAGCATTCATTAATGAGCCGTTAGTATCAACAACCGATATCAACACATGCCTGAATATGCTTCTTTTCGGTTTACGTTGTCCTATCGCCTGCATCCCATCAAAATTTGAACGCTCCGGTCCATGAGAACATATGGTGAATTTTCAGCAAATCACAATTACACACCCTTAATCCGTACCAGTTATAGCCTTGTTTTGTTCGCTCTCTGTCACTCTCAAACCTCCCGCTGGTGCCGCTTCCACATCTGAATACTCCAGGTTCGAGGAACTGATTTTCGCGCACGTACAGTCCCTTGAGGGTAGAGTCCAGCCTTGCCACCTACCACTGGTGTTTTCCTTCTTATTTACGTATTTTCAACAGATTCGAAGGTCTTAGGTCCGAGAAAACAGCACTTATGCATTGATAATTGAACATCAACACAAGCACACCGAGAACCCAACAGGCAATTCAAAGCGTTACTCGTGGTAGAATAAACAACTTCCATATTCGCAGAGCTCTCGCTTTTTGAGAAGGTTCATCAGACTACCGGGAATCCCAGCCCAGCAAATGGTTTCTGTTGAGTTGAAGTATACAGTGCGTTTCATAATTATAAGGTCACCCTCAAATTTTGCACTTTCAGAAAAGCAATCATTAAGGACTTTTCTAGCATCATAAACGGATTCCATAGCACGAATAACCTAGGTTTCCGTTTTTTAGCCGCAGCTGTATTTTTCTGAACTTTTTTAGAACAGTTTATCGGTTTTTGCACCGTTTCATAATTATAAGGTCACCCTGAGAAAGTGAACAATTATTCATGGAAGAGAGGAAATTTCGTGTTTGAAGACAGTTATGAAGGTAAGTATGTGTAGCAAATGCATTTCTAAACCTGGCTGTCAACATGGCTCGTGGTCATCTGCTTTCCTCTGATGAGAAGGCTCATCAAGAAGGTGGGCTCAGTACTCGGCCATCTCCACGCAAATAGGGAGATCCCATTGGTCCATTCAAAGATTTCTGGAGAGCTCTGGTGTCCCTAGATATAACACCTACTGTGGACACCCATGAAAGGTTACTGCCTTTGACGAGCGGAAGATTCTAAGGTCTGTTTCCAACTCGTCCTACTTGAACTAGATCAGATCGAAACTAAACCTCTCTGTGTCGAAAACTACGGTCTGGAGAGCAGTGAGAAGATGCGAGAACATCACCAGGCAAGCAATGGGGTGCCACGGATCACCGATCGTCACAAAGAGGCTCGACTTGGATTTGCAAACTGCCACGAATCACCGATCGCCACAGAGAGGATCGACTCCGATTTGCGAAGATGAACCTAGGGAGAGATTGGGCAAAGGTAGAACTGCATCAAGACCTCACCATGGAGCTGAATAATTCCTATTCAGGTCGTCTTTTCGGATGTAAAGAAGTTCAATTTAGACGGTCCTGACGGAAACAAGCGGTACTGACGCGACTTGAGAAAGGAACCAGTCTACTTCAGCCGTATTGTGTTGTGTAATTGTATTTGTGTTTATGGAACCACTGCCGAGGAGTTTTTTTCCCTACTATAATTCCGGCCCCTTTAGCCATTAACTATACAGACGAAAACAAACTTAACCTGAACGATTTTCGTCGTGGGCCGCTGTCGCTGATATGGCGGCGGTCAACACAACAGCTGGAGCAGTTCCCAGTATCAGTATAATTGAAAATGTGAGAATCATAGAAGTTGCCTTCGCCATTGTTAACAATCCAAGAAGCCAATACGGATCTATTGAGTACTAAAAGAATATCATGACTGACGAGAAACTTTAAGGAAATTCAGCGAACGAGATAGCTTTCATAGTTCAGTCATGGTTTCTCTGTTCTACAATCCCTTCATCTAAATACACTGCTTTTTTTAGCGGTGCGGTTGAAATAGTTGATTACCTGTGGTGTGCAATTTAGCATTTAGGCAGATATTTAGCGATATTCTTAATATTACGAAAGGACTGAAGAAATTTAGTGTAGCGAATATATGAAAGGGACAGAATGCTTAGTGAGCGGCCACTTATATGTCCCTTTTGGAGTCGGAATTCAGAAGGTTTTCCGAAGATAATTTTGGGGAACGATAAAAGGGTATTCAAAACGCTGGAAACGCTAGGAGGAAGTCTAACTGCCTCTGGCACCACCTTGAACCGAGCAGCTACGTTTGCTGCCCAAAACTTGATTGATTACTCTGAACGAAGTGGCGTTGATAAGCGGCGAGGCATAGATATTCCGCTGGAAAGGGTCGAGTTCCGCAAAGTGTAAGTTTTCGAACTTACCTGATGAGCGGTGGTTGATCTTTCAAACGGTCATCGGAATCCAAATGAAGCTCCCTACGTGTTTTTTCTGAAGAATATTCCTCATCTACGAAATTCAGTGAAACGCTTGATCAGAGATCAATAGTGAGTGGAACACAGTCAAAAAAGGGCGAGGCAGTCCGGAACGCAAGCACTCCGCACTGATAATCTGTTGCACGGACGATCCCGACAATCGACGTTTATCAGCACGTAAAGCTTTCTCAGTCGCAATAGTTTCTGTAATACTGCAGGATGAAACGAAAGGTGAAGAAATCTTCAATCTGTGATATTCTCTGCAGTCAGACCGCCATTTTCTTAACAAGCTGCCAGAATCTCGCTCGCCAGAACTTGGCAATCAATAGCGATAATTCAGGGTCAATTGGCATCATTTCTGTTGAGGAGGTTAACATTGTCTCCTAAGGATTCGGTTCAATAGGCAGAGAATTTGAAATCGCTCAGTACCGTTTGTGATGAGGAACTAACCCGGTGGGATGCGACAATAGCGCTGGAATAAGGATAGTCTTGAGAACTGTGCAGGCTGCTTGTGTACTGTTCTCTTCGCTTAGTCGCGCTTGTCTGCTTAGTCACACTTTATTTATTTGTTTATTTTGTGCAACACCATGCACACGAACGCAACAGTAAAGATATCTGAACAAAAAACCTTAATGGTAGGGACAAGCAATCATTCATGTAAGTTGAGAAAAGTCTTCTGGTACCGACAATAAACATCGCGGTCTGTTTTTTCTCCTAAATGAGAGTGAATGATCTGACGAAATCATTGAGGGACAGAAATGAAAACCAGCAAAATACCTAAATCAGTGTCCTCGGCATTCAGGATAAATACTGGAGCATCAGTCAAAGGAGGGAAAGTTTATTCATAGGAAAAACTCTGATAAGTCGGGAGAGTTTCAGATGCTGTTTACGAATATGGGTGCCGAAATTGCAAGATGGTTTTCCCAAGAAATTATAATAGCTTGAAATGTTAGCTTGACGGTAAAGTAAATTAGAAGTGCGAGCTCGTCGCATCGATATCAAAGGCAAAGTTCACGATAAAAATGACTTAAGAGATATCCTGCTAGAATATACTTGTGGCCCATTCGTACACCATATGGGGCCTGTCAGGTCGGAGAACGGCTAGCTAGGGAGTTGTAAAGGGTCAAAGATTGCACCGTGTGTATGCGCGGACCAGTTACGTCATCCTAGAGGCTGCACCATAGATAAGGGAACCCATTCAAGGAGTCCAAACTACTTGTTACGTCACTTCCGTCATGGTAGTCCTGCACAAACTCTTTTTTCACTACTTTTAAAGACCCTTAATTCACGCAAAATCGTCAGATTTTGGCGTTTCCTTCACTACCGATACAGAACTCCCCATCAGTACTTTGGCTTTCCGACTTAAAAAGGGTGAGGGTATGGGTCAAAGTTATCGTTATGTGCACCTTTGAAGGCACAGTTGACGATAATTTTGATGAATCCGTTTTTATCTGGAAAGCGGAAGTATAGGTCGGGAAAGTAAGGAAAATAGAGGTTGGACGAGATTACCGTGGCGGAAATAAATCACCTGTATAACCTGTCGGCATGTTATTCGTCGATTTCCTCTAGCGGGCGCAAGTAACGTTTCCTTTCGTTCATTCGTCCCTGTAGCGAGCCAGAGTAGTCCACTGAATCGTACTCGCTCATGAGGACGAAGTAATATTAGGTTGATGCATAATTATTGCAGATTTTTTCGCGGCTCTTTTTCTCTTGAAAGAATTTGANCCGTTTTTATCTGGAAAGCGGAAGTATAGGTCGGGAAGGTAAGGAAAATAGAGGTTGGACGAGATTACCGTGGCGGAAATAAATCACCTGTATAACTGTCGGCATGTTATTCGTCGATTTCCTCTAGCGGGCGCAAGTAACGTTTCCTTTCGTTCATTCGTCCCTGTAGCGAGCCAGAGTAGTCCACTGAATCGTACTCGCTCATGAGGACGAAGTAATATTAGGTTGATGCATAATTATTGCAGATTTTTTCGCGGCTTTTTTTCTCTCAATAGAATTTGAATATTGAGTTTGGGTTTCTTCTAGAAATGATCTACTCAATTTTCTCTACAAGAATATACTCAAAAAACCATCCGCTTCGCGAAATTAGGCTTAACTACTTCGAGAAACATTGGAAGGTCGCGCAGTCATTCCGCGATCTCAGTAACTTTTCGGCGATCGAACAATGAGCCAGAACCAACCAAGAAATGGGATCTGCCCCTAAATCTGCCATATTCACCAGCAAAAACTTTTATGGATCATCTCGTCAACCGTTCATCGGAAAATGGCTAGAGAATAGAAGTTACGTCGATTTGGATGAATTGATGGCCGATGTCAAAGCGTGGATCGCCCGTAAGGATCAAAACTTCTTCGCTTTCGGGATCCGACTAACTAATCAATTTGAAGCAGTGCTTGACGTAGATGGTGAACAATTTCCGGAGTAATTATTTGAATTTGTCTTTGCTTAGTATTTCTATAATTTCTTTAAGTAAAATTTGCTGGAAAAAACCGCAATAATTATGCATCAACCTGAATGAGTGCGCCACCTTCAAATCTGTCTCGAAGTAGTAAAGCCAAATTTTGCGAATATGCGGATGGTTTTTTGATATATTCTTGTAGAGGAAATCAAGTAGATCATTTCTAGAAAAAACACGAACTCGAAAGTCAAATTCTTTCAAGAGAAAAAGAGCCGCGAAAAAATCTGCAATAATTATGCATCAACTTAATACATTCCTTTCGTTTAGAGCTTTGGTGAAGAAGTCTGACCATTAGACCGGCGGTCGTTATAGGGTTCGTTTCACATCCGAGGGATCCAGTCCGTGACAGCCCTGGTCTAACGGTCATCGCTATATCGCCAGACGTGATCGGCCATCTAATTTTCAATTTCTTGGCGTATTCAACTGCATCCCTGATCTTTGTTCGTTGACGGAGTTCGAAATTCTGAATTCCTTTTTGCACTTCCGTGCACGCTAGGTGCATGGTCATCCTGCTTTCGTAGAGTCCAAGTCTCTGAAATGTATGTCAAAGCAGGAAGGACCGAAGTATCGATAAGGTGAGCGCGGAGTCGGATGCTCTTCGTCTTCTTCACTACTGCCTCGACGTCCTTGAGTGCTCACCACGCCCCGCGTTTCCTTCTGCTCAGCTCTTTCCAATCTTTCCAAAGCGTTGTCGAATTCGCCCAGCATTCGTTCCGCCTGCTTGATGTTCCGCGTAGTAAGCACGATGCCACAAAGCGGATATAATGTAAGTAGCGGCAGTCGAACTTCACTCCCCTGCTTTCCCGTTCCATGACTTTCTCGAGAGCGGCACTGAAACGTTTGCGCGAGGTGGTAATCCCCTGTCGAACCTCACTCTTCACGTTGATGATGACCTCTTTGTAGAACGGCGAAATCCTGGTCGTGAAGTTGTTGTAGAGTTCACGAAGAATCCTTACATACTGAGTTGGAACAACCTGGTTGCCCGGGTCTCGATTGCCGCTTCTGTCCCAACGATATCAAGAGTTTCCTTCAAATAGATGAATGTAAGACATAACGGTATCTTGTACTATCGCGATACTTCAATGAACCTTGTAACGTGTGGAAGTGATCGATTGTATCGAACCCTCTCCAAAAACCCTGCCTGCTCACACGGCTGTCCTTCATCTGAGATTCTGGCAGTCCTGTTAAGGATGACTCGTGTGAAAAGTTTGTAAATTCAGGACAGCGGCTAAATCGAGCGATAATTGCCAACGTCGGCTAGATCTCCCTTCCTATACTGCAAAACGGTCTTGCTAGTTTTCCACGGAGCGCACTTTGCAGTCCGACAGTGAGAAGCCGAGCCAGGGTTCTGCCAATGACTGCTCTGAAAGCTCTTTGAATATTCTGCTTCGATCCTGTCGGGAGCGGTAGCCGTACAACGTATTGCGGAAGGGAGTATCGATGGAGAAATATATTCGTCTCGCGCGGGATGGTGAGCAGGCAGGTAGACGTGGCTGTTGAAGAGATCAGAGTATGTCACAGACGTGACTATAGGATAGAGCATATTTAATGTAGAGCATTCCTTTATTTACTTTGTTTGTGTTAGAGTGTTCTTTGTTGTTTATTTAGTCTATTAATTCTATTCTGAAGATTTCCTGTCTTATGACATGTGGAAACAAGTGGCATGGAATGGAGAGACTGTTTTACGTGGAAAGCCAACCATACGGGTCAAGACAACCACCGATACCACCATACTGAAGACAATGATATCGACCTCTATATAAGATCTCTGCAGTATGGATAAAAATTCATTCGCCTCATTCGATTCATCTGCTCCACACGCTTCACCTGATCCTATATCTCAAGTATACGATACCACAAGTGGTGCATCGGCCAAATTCGATCGAGCTGAAGAAGAAGTGAAGCATCAACTAGACTTGGTCGAGACTGAAGAAAAGCAACCTCACCAGGAAAGAAGCATCAACTGGACTGAACGAAACGAGGAGCATCAGGAAAGCAGGTGCGACTTCACGAAAACTAACTCCTTTCAATAGTTATAGCATAAGAAAGCATTAAAGTAGCTCAAGTAACGAACGAGCTTCTTTCGAGTTTTCTTTTTGCTTTCTGCCTAGGCTCTAGAAGCATTCAATTTGAAGCATTTTCCTCGTTGTGCATTTTATTGTACTTTGCAGAAAGAATATATAAGCACTAATGACAACATCTCTGAGAACGAGGAAAGCAGTGTTAGCTAGGCATTCTAGAGCATTGTGCCAGTGCATAGACGAGCATTCAGCTTGGGCAGATGCAGTAAACTTAGAAGAGCAGAAAGCATATGAAGTTAGTTGAAGTGAAGTTCAAACTGCTAAGATAGAAGTCAGAACGCTTCGAGCAACATTCGAAAATGCTCTTTTTGCCTTGACTGATGCAGTTGATAATTTAAAAGATCTTCTAAACGATGATGAAGAAAGCAAAATCTCTGAATACATCAACAACGCAGAAATAACAATCTCAAGAGCTACGAGCTTGCTTGTAAAGCTCGAAGTAATTGTAGATCACTTAGCATCTCACAGTTGTCTAGAAAGGGGAACAGGGAGCAGCGGATCAGTCCTTGGAGCAGTGAATCAACCCAACACAGCAAATCACCAGCTTCGGTGGAACTTCCAAGAATACCACTGCCAGTGTTCAGTGGAAGAAGCTGGGAATGGGAAAGTTTTTGGGAATTGTTCAACACAACTGTGCATTCCCTTCAAATGTCGGATCTTCAGAAGTTTAATTATCTTCTGAGAGCATTGAAGGGCGAAGCGAGAGAATCGATTGCCAGATTCCAAGTAACCGCAACCAACTACAATTTAGCAATAGCCCATCTAAAAGAAAGATATGGGGACGACCAAAAAATAATTACGAGCTTACATCGTCAATTAGAACAATGGAGCTCCAAGAGCACACGGTTGAAAGACCAGCGCAAACTTCACGACCAACTATCTGCTATCACAGCTCAGCTTCTGAGCAAAGGGGAATCCCTTGATAGTCCGTGGCTTCTATCGAAGATTCTTTCGAAGTTTACAGAGACTATTCAAAGGAATACCCTCAAAGAGAAGGTTTCACTAGTTTCAACAGAGAGTTGGACACTGAACAAACTCATAACCGCTCTCGATCGAGTCATAAAACAGGAGGAGGAGATTGAAAGGCAGATGCCAAAAAAGTCTGGGAATACGGAGATGCCGAAACACGAGGCAATAAAACCGCAACCCCAAGAGAAAATTCGATGTGCATTTTGTTTCTATTGTGATAGTAGGGAGCACTGGTCAACAGGTTGCACCAAAATGGCTTCCCTAAAAGCACGTTTAGAGCAAAGACTAACCGTTGCATCGGTTGTGGCTCAAAAATGCATAAATTTGTCGAATGCAAAAGCAAAGGATGCATGCAGTGTGGGAAAAAACATCACACTTCGACATGTTTCAAAGCTAACGCTCCTACCTCCTCCGCACCTGTGTCGAATACAGACCGGAAAAAGGAGTTGAAACCGATGCCAGCACAAGCTCGGCAAAATTTTGCGCTCTGTGAAGGAAGCGACACACAGGTTGAAAACGATCAAACTTCTGACCTAACAGTTATGAGGGTTGAAGACACAACAAGAAAAGGAATTCATAGCGATATATTCCTTTTAATGGGAACTCTACGCACCTTACATCCAAGAACACAAAAACTCGTCACACTTCAGGTTCTACTGGATACGGGTGCCGATCGTAGTTTTATTGATGCCAAGTTGGCTGATGAGCTCCAATTGGCAAGCCATGGCGTAGTCACCATGAAACTCAGGACTTTCGGTGCAGAAACCGCAAAGGAGATTCAATGCACCGATACGTGCTTAAAGATATGGGATTCTGAGGGAGAACAACATAAATTGAAGAAGCTCTTTACGAGAAACAGCTCTTTACGCATAATAACCTAACAAGAAACTTCACTGGAGGGAAACTTCAAAAAGAAGATCTGTTGTTCATACAGAAAAAGCATATAAAGCTGAGCATTTCAGATCATGGAGTTTTTCATCCCCCTCAGATCCTGATCGGATGTGACCAGCTTTGGAACTTCATAAAGTTCGGAGCACCAACATTTATTCTGGGGAGTCAGATATTGAACGAACTTGGAGCAGGTATTGAGGATGACGAACTATCCCGCAACATGAGCAACCAGATGATCGAGTGGAAGCATATAACACCGTACTCACCGTGGAAAGGCGGCTTTTATGAACGCCTCATCAAGTCAGTGAAAGAAGCCCTGATAAAGGCGACGGGAAAGCGCATACTAACACTAGAGCAACTATGTTCCTCCTTGGTCGAGATTGAAGGATGCCGTAATAGTAGACCTCTAACATACCAAGAAAGTGACCTCAATGACAGCATCACACCTCTACGACCTATCGACTCCATACAGAACAAGATGAGTGTCACACTTCCATATGATGATTCAGAAAATGACTGCATAGACCCGCCTACCTACCTGCGGCTGAAAAAATACGCCTAGAAACAAGTCTACAAGCGCAAAAAGCATTGCGGTCATCTTGCGCAGTAACGGAGCGCTTCTGGGAAATATGGAGAAACCAATACCTGACGGCTCTCCGGGAAAAACATCGAAGAAATATCAACGAAAAACGAGAAAGCATTAAGGATGTTAGTAAAGGAGCAATAGTCCTTCTCAGTGAACCACACCAAAAGAGGAGTACATGGAAGCTAGCACGTATCTCCAAATTAATTCCAAGCAGTGATGGAGCAGTAAGAGAGGTGGAGGTTTGCTGCAACTACAGGACACTTCGACGTCCAATAAACCAACTTATACCTTTGGAATTACCAGATAAAGAGAAGAATCTGCAGCAAAATGAAATGGCGACGGACGAGACACGTCAAGCAGAACCTCAGTCATCAAATAAGCAGTATCCAAATCGAAAAAGAAGAAACAACCACATGGGAAGCAATCATCAAATCCAGGCTAACATTCACCACCTAACTACTCGTCCGAGTAAAACGTGGCCAACATTACCTGGCCTGAAAACGGCGTCGAAATTAACGTCGACTGTGCTATCAGTCGCCTGTGAAATACAGACTTCAATCGAAAAGCAGCAAAGCATAAGACCAATTTCGTGCTACACACCAGTGCATGAAAACCGAAAGGCTCTCAAGCGCATGGTTCTAAGACTGGTGCCGTTTCCCGGAGGAGTAAAAGAATCTCATCCAGGAAATTGTCACCTTACAACACATTTGCTGTGACTTTCAATCACATATTCTTTGAGAAAACGTACAAAAACATGTCAAAACAAAGTGATCATCATCCAGTTAGCGCCTCTCAATTGAAGCATCTCCGTTTTGAGGCAATGTCTTGGAGGAGCGATTACGATTTCTCGAAAAAACGTCAAGCTGAAGAACGCAAACTTATCGATGAAATTCGTTATAAGCGAGCGTGCATAGAGACAGTATCAAAGTTCCCAGAAGAGGAAGACGTCCAACACAGAATACATGGCTTCGTGAGATTCGTTATTGATATTGTCAGGAACAATCGCCTTAATGACGAATTTACCGAAATTCGAGGAAGAAGACCCATTTTTCTCGCCAACTGGGAAGCTACGCTCTACAGAAGTCCCCTGGAAAGAATTTGTCTCGAAGTGGACCATGAAGCCGAAAGAATTCGAAGCACTGCCGAAAATTTGTCCATGGCTTATGAAGTGTACGGCCTCCTTATTTTGTCTGAGGGAGCAATACTGTTTTCTCGGAAGAACTTTTTTGGTCAAGATGAACAAGGTGTTCTGTTGGAGCCAAGCCATACCGCCGATTTCATTCGGAAAGAGCTGGAATTCCTAGAGCAATTCAGACGTCAAGTACAGAATGAAATCGAAGAGGCTAAACGCCAAGATGAAAATGAAAATCACTCTTCTACCTTCGATCAAATAAAAGAAATGATAAAGGACTCGAAGAAAGATATTCATGTCAAGCATATGGAAATCCAAACGGAAATGGACAATCAAAGAGAGAGCATGAAAAAGCTATGTGAAAAATTCGAAAAAATAAAAAGCATTGCGACGAGTTCCAAAACCGATCAAGAAGAACGAGAGCATATAGAGCATTTAAAGCATACGAAGAAGCATTCAGAGCACGAACAGCAGAGATCGAAACCAAAGGAAGTGAACTCCGAGGAACCGGGAGAAGACCTTCTTGACTTGGACTACGATTATGAAGAACCCGAGAATCACGACGACTCGATCAACACTCCTTCCTATGTATCTGACGACGACAACACAGGTCAACAAAGATACCCCGGACATCACAAAAAACTGGAACTGGAATCACGCCTCACGGAAATTAGAGAGTTCTTGATGGAAAACCAGGGTGTGCCAGAACGAAAGATAAGCGAGGACAACCCAATGAGACCTCAGGAACGATATTTAGTTTGTTCCTTCTGCCTAGCAAAGGGACGACACTATTCAGACAGCTGTCCTACTTATGTCAGCGTAAAATCCCGAATGAAGCGAGCCCGTTGCAAACAATGTTTGGATAGCCGGCACAACACAGAGCATTGTCGAAACGAAACAAGACAGTGCATGTACTGCAGATCGAAGAAGCATAATAAAGCACTCTACACATTGCCGGAAGAGATCCAGGAGTGCTACAAAGAAGTTGAAGAAATCGAGCACGAACTGGACAATTTCGAGGAATACTACGAACCTCGAGTGCCACCTGACTAGCAAATACTAAGGTCAGGGGGAGTGTCACAGACGTGACTATAGGATACAGCATATTTAATGTAGAGCATTCCTTTATTTACTTTGTTTGTGTTGAGTGTTCTTTGTTGTTTATTTAGTCTATTAATTCTATTCTGAAGATTTCCTGTCTTATGACATGTGGAAACAAGTGGCATGGAATGGAGAGACTGTTTTACGTGGAAAGCCAACCATACGGGTCAAGACAACCACCGATACCACCATACTGAAGACAATGATATCGACCTCTATATAAGATCTCTGCAGTATGGATAAAAATTCATTCGCCTCATTCGATTCATCTGCTCCACACGCTTCACCTGATCCTATATCTCAAGTATACGATACCACAGAGTAGAAGTTGTAAATGACCTTCTTCACTGCCTTTCGGTGTACAGTAATAGCCCCGTCAGAACGACTTAAGGAAGTCATTTTGGTTTGGTCATTGACGAAACCCAGCGGGTTTTGCGGATGCTCTTTTCAGCCTAGACAGTTTCGTCCATAGCTACTGCTCTTCTCTCTTTTAGATCTTCCTTTATTGCTTTTCTGCATGACTTCGCAGATCAGCTGATTATTGCCTGCAGCCCAAGATTCCATGCGCTAGCGCATGAGCTCGAGAGTCTTCAAAAAGAGACATTCCCTGGCATAGACTACAAGACTCTCTGTTTTCCTACCACTATCGTGGAGATGTTCGACAAGCCGATGGTATTTCTCATCAATGCTGTCGCTAATGGAATTTTCCCACAAACTCGTAAGCGAGACGAAGTGATCCTAGTTTATAACAGCCTTCGGGCTTCGTTTCCTGTACTTCGCAACTCTCTCTACACGCACTGAACAGCGGAATCTAGCGCGGAGGAGACCTGAGCGCGGAGTCTGTCCCGTGTAGAACTTAGAAACAACAGCGAACTCGGTCAGGCAAAGCTTACGATTGACGATGAAGTGGTCTATCCCATTATGGAACTGCCCACTTTCCTCCGTGAGGAGAATTCCAGCCTTAATCAGAAAATCAGAGAGAGTGGTAATAGGCGTAATCCAACTGCTGATGTAGAATTGGGGCTGTTTAATTGAGTTTTTGTCCTTGTCAAGGTATTCGAGATGTTCCTGTTAACGCAGCTACTTCTTATCAAAATATGTCGTAATCTGAAGTTGAAAGATTACGTTCAATTGTTTTATGTGGTCTGCCTAAGTCTAGTTCTACAAATGTCACGAAACGTTTTCGTGAGATTTTCAGAGTATTTGTAAGATAGTTGGCTGTCTTGGAATTGAATGCAATCCGATAACTGTGTACTGAATGGAAAGGCCTTCTAATGATAATTGTAGGTTAGTGAAGGCATGTTTTGGGCTTCTTCGGAAGGAGTAGCTCCTGCTCTAGAGAGCATTGAGGCTCCATCTTTTAACGCTCCCAGTTTGACTGTTGGTAACAAGTAAAAATGACGTGGCTTCCGTGGTTTCGATGGAGAATTCTTAGGGTTTCTACCATAATATCAGGCCATCTCGAAAAACAGGCTACATTGATACGGTTCTAACTTATAAATACGATATCTATGCATTTACAGAGACGCGGTTTGCTCCCAGACATAACACGGCGTGTATTTTGAGCTGTTTCTGTTACGATTATGAATTCTTAGATTTGACTTACTGACTGACTTAGATGTGAATGTTTACAAAAAAGGCGGCAGGAGAAGTTATTGGTGCATGCCAAGTTTGCCCTATAAGCGGTTTTGAGGAATCGGTAAACAATGCTTATGGAATACAATGTGCCGACATTTTTTATGACTTATCGAGTTTTCGAGTCATTGTTGTATGCAGGGCTCCGGCTTGTGTTATGGCTCACACCGAGCAGCTCGTGAAAGCTTTTAGTGATTTGATTACGTGTGACCTCCACTCCTCGATAGCTAGAGAATTCAACGTGCCAGGGTTTGTTCGGGTTGGGATGCTTCAAGCGAATAGGACTATATTAGCCTCTTTACAGCTATTATATGTACGCATATTTTGACGCAGCATGTTCCTAATCCAACTAGAGGAAGGAATATCCTCACCTTGGTTTTCGGCACCGATAAAAGTCTTGTTTGCAATTTACACATTCTGTCTTCAGTCGGGCAAAGTAACCACAGTGGGGTTTTTTTCAAACTCAACTGTTGTGGATCCTTTGCTCAGTTCATCACAGGTAATACTCAGCCTGTAATTTTGGCAATCCATGCGCAGATCTTTGTAATCAAATGGGTTGATCTTCCGGAAACAAGTAGTACAGCCAACGAAAAATATGATTTTTGGCTGTTCTTCCTACGACCATTGAGTACTACATTCCGTGATAGCGATTGTCGTCGTTCAGATCAGTAGAGCTTTCAAAGTAGTCGCAAAACGTGATCGAGCATCGAGATATCATTTTCTTAGATGCTGGACGAAGTGGTATTTGCGCGAAATCTGAGCAATTCAATGAGTCTTTACTTTCGAATTACAGAAAACATAACAGTAACATTGAGAAGTAAGTGATAGAATCCAAATGCAGTCACACCTTTTACAAGTATTCAAATCAGAAACTTAATGGCAAGACTAATATTGGCTGTCTGAAAGTAGATGATGTTGTGGCATAACGCCCGTAACAAGGCCAATTTGTTTGCAGAGCAGTATGCAAAATCTTTCCTTGAGGATGAAGGAAGGGTTCCAGAGTTCGCCACAACTTTTTTTCCGTCGATGACAAGTGTTCCGTTTTTCAATGCAGAATAGCTCTGCGGGCAAATTATGAAATGACCGAGAGGCTCCTCATTAGCTCCGAACTTTAACCCACTATTTTTCATTATCCGGGCTCTCAGCTTATTTATTCAATCAATCACTGATTAAGAGTGGGGTACCTCCTAGATGGAAGCATTCCTTTGTAACTCCGATTTTGAAGAAGGATCCATCCTCGGATCCAGGTAATCACCGTCGAGTCAGCCTTACTTTCCTTTTCTTTAGATTATCTGAAAAAAAACCTCAAGGAACATGTCTTCAGACATGTTTTTAATTGTAAGATTATTCCGAAAAATCAGCATGGCTCTATCCAAGGACGTACAATCGAAACCAACATGATTGAATGTCTTCGGGACCGAACTGGTGCTCTTGATGGCAATAACTCGTGCTATGTCATTCACTTCGATTTCTCGAAAGCTTTCGACAGAGTGTCTCATAAGAAGCTAATCCATAAGTTGCAAGTGCTTAGATTTCATACTGTTCTTATGAGTAGATCTCAGAACTCCTCGTTGTAGAACTTTCCAGGATTTAATAGGAAGATTTCCTCGGACCGTAGAGAAGTTATGAGTAGAGTGCCGCAATAGAGTGTGCTCTCTTCGGTGCTCTTCAACATCTTCAGGGCCGATATCCCAAGTAGGTAGAGCGAGTTAGATGTTGTCATAAAAGGGAACGCGGATGATATAAAAATGTACAAGGATATTCGGGAAGACGAAGATGGTGAAGCCTTTCAGAAGCGATTTATTTGTTATCTGATTAGTCCAAACAGTGCCCCTCAAAAGGCGTATTTTCAAGCATCGTCCTTTCCACAGCGCATTGAAAGACGCTGACTGCATGCGCTTCTGTTTTCGTTGAGTCTATATCTCCGAGGCGGGAAGTACAGCATGAATCCATGTCTGTTGTAAGAAGCGTACTTCAGAGCAGGAAGGAAAACAGCGTCAAAAAATGAGCGCGAAGCCGGATGTTCTTCGCCTCCCTCTCTACTCCCTCGATGTTCTTGAATGCTCCCCATGAATGAGTTTCTTCCTGCTGTGTTGACTTCTCGACCTCTTGCTCTCTATCTTCTCGACCTCTTGCTCTCTTCTCTTGCGTCTCTATGCGAGTACTGGTGTTTTTGATGAGATTAGACGAGACGAGCATTAACTTTATCATGAGATGAAAACACAACATTACAGAACGAAGTTGATATGGTGGAATCACAGCAAATTTATAGGCTGCTCCGCCCACTTTGTGGGATCGCGGTGCTATTTTATACAAAGGATAATATCGCAAAACCTTTTTGACAAAAGAGGCAATTCCAAAGATAAACTAGTGCGTGAAACAAATAAAACTAAAGTCGCAACAGTTGGAAAGAAAGTCTGGATTTATAAAAAACGAGATTGTGCGACAGTCGAGCGATCTGTTTATTCTAATTATACTTACAAGAGCAACATTTACATTTCTCAAGAGTAGGGAGAAATTTTGAAAGGGCGCACTTCATGAAAAAGCTCATGAACACAGGTTATCACCCATTGCTCTTCTACCTACATGCACTGCAGGACGACTTTTTAAAGCTATAAGGAGTTCAACTTATCTGATCACAGACAGGCACTGCGTGTCCATCAGACAAGACACACTCTGGTTTAATAAAAAATACACAGATTCAATTTAGGAACTAGATTATGCCTCTCAACGCAGCCGTAATGCAGAAGCTAACTGAGTACGGCCTGAACAACGCTCTGAACGTCGTCTGTTGAAAACGCATACGGTACGCTGACTGCGGTTCCATTCATTTTGACAATTCCCGTCAGGTCAGTGTCTAGAAAAAACAAGAGCTTTAAATGGAAAAACATTTACGGTTAGGCTCATGACGTGTTTGTATTCCACTCACCGTTAAACCCAACTGCAACGATTTTAGCACTTGGGGCCAGCATTGGTGTCAGCACCGGTAGCCCAGCTGTGTCCTTCCTGCAAAACATTTTTCAGATCATTCCGCTTTCCTCTACATTTAGCTACTGTCCTCGCGACCACAAGAGGGTGAGTAACTTCGAAAACTTACTGCGCCGAAAAGAAGATTAGGCAATTAACTGCGCTCATTCCTTCATACCCATTGATTGAATTAATGGCACTGAAACAGCGTGTTCATAAGATAAATGTGTAATGATGGTCACGGGGTCTACCTTAGTATGTATAGATATATGTGCAGGCATTCCGACAGAAACGCAGCTTTTTATCATTTCATTTCAACATCTAACAAGGGAAGGATTCCAAGTCGAAGTGGCCATTTGAAATGGGACCTATACTGCTAGGCGTATTTTTTGATGCTGATTTCAAATCTGCATTCAAAATCTGCCAAACGATTTTCCGAAAGAAGTTATGGAGGTGGTCTCCGGGGAACGCTCAACGGGGAAAGCACGAAAGCCATGGTCACAGGCAGCATAGCAGTGGCGGCTTGGGGTGGAGGTAAGCGTGACGCTACATAGGGACGGGACCAGGGGTCGGGTTTGGTAGGCGACGGCGTTTTTGCAACTTGCAGGACTTTTTCCTCCAAGTTGGAAAAAAATTTTTATGCTAGTTTTATCGTTTTCAGCGACTTCTTAGTTGCTGGATGCGAGTCAATTTCTACTCAAACCGTGGAGTTCCATGACAACGGGAAATAGATGAAATGAAACGCACGCAGGTGAAATAGATGTATGCTGGCGTTCGAATCTTCGAAAAATTAGTGTGTTAGATGAGCGATTTGTCTAACTACCAGTAGAGGGGACTCTGCGTGAGTAGATTCTCAGAGGAACTGAGCCTTTCAAAAGATCGAGTGAGGGGAGGGTCCTGCGCAAGCCGGACGATTCGGCTGGTTATGCTTTGAATGAATAAGTTGGGAAATATTAAGAACTTACTCTCCTGTTGTTTCATCGTTTCCATCTTCATCATAATTCATTCTTGTCGTCAAGTCATTGTCAAATTTGGCGAACGTACTTGACATGCTAGCAAGTCCAGCGCTAGGAAAACGTTGCCCAGCGTCAGCATATCCGTACAACGACAACCCTGCTTTGAATTCATTTCCCTGGCGGAATAAACTTTGGCTAGTATTCCTGATAAAACTTCTTTCCTGAAACGAAGAAACAGCTAGACAAATCCATACTCAGTACCAATATACATCTTCCAAGTGAATATGAATGCACAACCAGTCTCTGCCTCATTCGAGTTGCAAGCTTGAAATCTATTATGGCTTTAATTTCATTCTGTCTGAATTCATTTTAAACCTCACAAAGCATCGCTATGCATACGGGAAACGTTCATTCTACATTTGATGAGCAAACACATGTAAGCCTGCGTTATGGAATCGTATTGCTTAGACATTGCCCCATGATTCATGCGGTAGAATTCGAGTGCGTTTACAGTCCTCTTCATGAACTGAAAACCTGAAATTCCAGCCTGACATGGCTCACGCATCCTCCCAATTTATGTGCTTAGAGTGTCTTCTTATGGTATAGGTCACCATACATGTGACACAGCTCTAATGCACGACAACACATCCTACCTGCAGCTCACGAGAGGACTTCTAAGTCGTTCTGCAAAACTTTCATATCTAAGGAAATCTTCCCTGATTTAGTTCTGATGTAGTGTGGACATTTCGATAGATATGTCACAATTTATTTTCTCGTTTGGTTGAGTGCAGGACTAAAGGTAGCCTCTCATACAAAGTGATGGCGGTACAGCCGAGCTATTGCAAACAGCATTTTTTCCGCATGTACAGACCCATACCGAGGTGAAACACTGAGAATACGTCTTGGTGAAATGGAATGTACTAGCGATGGGACCTAGCTGATAGGGCGAAGAGCCTTAAATTCTTGAGATGGGGTGAGGGTTATGTGACGTTGTCAGGAAGGGGCGGAGAGGACCGCATTGGCGATATAGCGCCGAAGAGGAAATCTCCTGAAGATCAAACACCGATGGGTTGGTGGAGATCAAATAAGTGTAGGTGATCTGATGATTAGTCGGAAGGGTGTTGCACTAGTAAACATGTCAGAGGAAGGAACAGCCGCGCGAAAAGCTGTATGAAAGGGAATCTTCAAGAAGGAAGCGTCATCATTAGTTATTCGTCGCCCGCCGCCAGCCGCCTACGTCCACGGGACTCCGTGCCTTGGCACTCACCCGACGATTCTGGCACCCCTAAAGAGTGCTGGTTAGACGAACCTTAGTGGTTCGTGAGATAAGCAGGCTTGGGACTATTAGGGAAGGCCAAAGTGTACAACTTCTTTTACGGCTGGACCCACCCACGATCCTCTTTGTGCTTGACCCAGTGGTGATCCTTTTTAGATCTTTGCTTCTCAACTGTTCCTTGTTTTTATTGTTCACGCTTTTTTTCTGTTACAGTAAACTTGTAAATCACTGGGTTTCGGATAGTCGGAGCCACCTCTATTCGGTGTAGTATCAAAGAAGGGACAACGAATAGGAACGACTTGCCAAATGTACAGGATTCGAGGGCGACTTCTCAGAAAGACAGCTCCTCGATCGTCCGTCGTACAGCAGGTAATAAAAATCTACTCCTATATCTTTCTCGAGAGGCAGAGTTTACGACAGTTCCCGGGTATATAAATAATTCAGGACAATTAGCGAAGGTGATAGGCTATTGTAAAAGTGGCGACAAGAACTCGGAAATCGGCCTGTTCAGACAAAAATAAGGCTTCCTAATGTCAGCAATAGCTGTCCAAATATGTGCGCCGTTACGCACAGCTGATTACAGTAAGCTGTCCTCGTGCAAAAAGTGCGTGCCGGTGCGAATGGCGCTTCTTCTAGGATAACGGAACTTCTTCCTGATTCCCACATCCTGCGGCAATGGTTCCGCGACGACTCCTTAGCCTTTCATTGGAAATTCAAATTTTTCCCTTCTTAACGCGCAATCGCGTGCGGCGAGGGCGACACGCTGTTCGGGGAGAAGATGCCTCACCTCATCTTCTGCAGCCTCTGCAACGCCATGAGAACTCGTACGCCTTTGGGTGTATACGTCACCTATTCCGATTGTGGGGTCCTTATTCAACCTATCTAGATACTTTTTCTAATCGACAGCGACCCTTTTGCTGTCCTTGCGGGTCACAGGTTCATCCCACAGGAAATTTCTACTAACTTTTTCTATTGTGAACCAGGACCTCAAAAACTCGGGTCAGAGCCACTTGCTGCTCAACTTTATCTCTCTTTAAAAAAGAAAACCTGACTCGTCTATCTAGTAAAAATTTTTATGCATTGACCTGACCATATGCCGTCTCATTCGCGTCGAAATTATACATGTCACCCACGAAGAGACAGCTCAGACTCGGTTTCGGTATCACTGAAAAACGGACGTCGGCTTGAGAATATTCAGAGCTTAGTTTTTTAATAAAACAAATTTTTAGAGTACATCATGTAATCAAACACAATATTTAATGGTTGAGCAAACTGAGGTTACACTACAGGGNGGGTTTTCCACCCTGCTAGTAATATTGCAATCAATTTCGTATGTATTGCAACATATTTCTTGAATCTCCATTTCATATACAGGGTGCGCCATGAACATGGTAACAACTTTTCAGACGTCCGAAATTTCCTTGTTCAAAGGTTTCTCCAAATCTGCATCTTCCCTTATGTTTATGATGTACCCTGACTACATATCTACTTTGATGCTCTCAATTCGTCAGATTTCGAAAACCGGTGGAACCTCGCAGACATCCAGCAACCGTTCCGTCTTTGAGCGCATTTGGTGAGTCCGGTCCCATAATCGCTCCTCGTTTCAACTTTCCCAACTGACAGTCTCTTGAACCGCGATGCGTAGACGGGTTGGGGCAAACCTCAAGACGGTCGTCTTGCATCACATACAATCCCTTTTCCGAACAGAAGAAGTACAGTACTCGCCGTGAGAACTCAAAAACTCACGAGAATACTACGAATTCGCGTCCTTTTCGCCTTTTCTTTATAAATCGCTTCAAAATGAAGTAATCGAGAAGAAAAATACCGTTTAATTCAGCTCGTCGAGCTCTACAAGTTGATACCCTCAAATGTTGAAAATGCTTTATTTTAGATTGCGCCATGCACTTGAGCTCCATGCGAAAAGTGATTGCATGCACGTGGGGTGCACGCTTTAGTGCTTGTAGGAGCTCGTTGGTCCTGGAAGATGATCTGTTTGGAATTTGCTTTGGATTGCGCCACGTACTCGACTTTACTCAGCACAATATGAATATTATTGTTGGTTTTGTTTAGTCTCCATCGATCCTTTTTTGGTTTGGAGTCCGCACTCAAGTGCATCTACAGTTTCTGCACACAGCATTCCTTCTTACACATTGAGAATATGGCATCAATTTAATGCAGAATAACGGAGTCGACTTTTTTGGCATTTTTCAATTTTTGGAGTAATTTTTCTCCGGAATCTGAGGAGGTGGAAGCGAGCAATCCACTATTGTAGACTACTCTTTGTGTTCTGCGAGGCTGCTATGGTACACCTCATCAAAGTTCAAAATTTCTCCCTTGGTATGGCCCCAAACTTCGAACTTCGTCAAGCCCAAATCATAAAACAACGTTTTTCCCTACCAGCGGAGGGAACAACAATCATTGGATAGAACTCTTTACGGAGAATCTAACAGTATACAATTTATTGCAAAAATTCAACAGGCAAGAGGAAAAGCATAATTTTGTAATTTGAGCGTGACGATAAACGAAGTTTGGAGCCATACCAGGAGAGGACTGTTGATCTTTGATAAGGTGTACCATAACAGCTCGCAAAACACAAAGAGTAGTCTACAACAGCGGATTGCCTCGCTGCCGCCTTCTCAGGGGTCGTGAGGTATGCTCCCTCGGACAGGGGAGGGTCCCTTTCCCGATAAGGTGTGCTCTCGGGGAGAGCTTTCGGGGAAGGGCCACGTCCACGGGTTCGAGGGGAGAACTTCCCGAATAGCGCACGATCTGGGATAGCCGGAACTACCGTAATCCCGTGGCCATAGAGTGCGGAATTGTCTATAGAGCGCGCAATTCTTCTACGGCTTACGCATTGTTTTACTCCCCTTTTAAACATTCCTTGGTTTTCGTGCATTAAACGGTTTCATTTGTACTTATTGTTCTCATGCGATTTTATATTGTGCTCAACCATGAGTATTAGCCGTGATATTGCTGTCGTTTCGCAACCTTGTTGATGTCACTTAGTAGAGCAGTTGTAGAGTGCCGAAGTTCTTTTTCGGAACGCTTTTGGCACTATTGCATTATTACAACTCCAGTGGGGGTGAAATGGGTCAAAAGAATAATTTTCGCTGAAATCTCTATGAGGATTATCGAGGGTCCTGATCACGAATAAGACATCCATTGTTGGCGCTTGCCAGGTGGCTCACGACTGCTTCTCACCAAATTCGCTGTAAACTTGTGTAGGGGGTATTTGGGGCCTGATTACATTTATGACACTCGTTTTTGACATTCGTGCTGTTCAAGGCATATTTTCTGCTCGTCTGCGCTCTTGCACTAACTGATTGAATGGCTGATCAGACTTCGCGATGGCGGTGCGAGCGGCGGGAGATTTACCAGGCCAACCACCGACAACTCGGCGCCATCAGTCGGAAATCGCCTGCCGCTCGCACTGCGCTATTCGGATGTGAGCGTCGATGGTCGTGCGATTCACATTACTCCCATCTTGCCCAAACCGGTCCAATCGCAGAGTCTGACATCAGTCAATCAGGACTAAGCCCTTGGATAGTGGACGGCTCCTGATGAGTAAGCCATTCACTCTGTCGCGAACGGCGGACGGCGCAGACGATTACAGAGAACGGCACCTGGCGCGCCTCCAAATTGCAAGGAGGAAGGCGACGCTAAGATAACGCAGTAGAGGAAGTTGAAAAACTTCTGGAAATTTTTTTGCTCAGGCTACCAGAATAGGGTCTCATCAGGTAAAAAGGGCCTCATCAAGTGGCTGCCCTAACCCCCACCCCCCCCCCCC